AATTGAGCGATTCTTCACGGTTTTTCATGCTTCAACATATTTGACATTCAATATTAGTCGAAATCGACGCAGAGAATAGTCAGTTCAGATAACCAATTGAAGTTTTATATTACACGAACGAGTAATTCATATGGAGTATTAAAACGAAAGCCAGCCACCAACCAATTGAGGATCATATTTAACCCCTTCAACTCGCCATCTCCCTCTTGACTGGCAGTTGATGCCATAGTATACCATGCTTTGACATGAGAAACTGATATTCAATGACACTACTTGACACCAGCATAGAATTCAGCCAAATACAACCGGAGGTAAAACCAAAAGGGCGGGCATTCACTCCTCTTTGTTCCAATCCTCCGGAATTTCCCCTTTACCTCTAACCTTACCAAAGTCAATACTTGGTATCCTATTCACGTTTAATATGCACTTGTGCCAAATATCGCAATACACAGGAAGTGGTGTTTGGCTAATTATGGTTGATTCCATGATAATTATCAATGTCTCTCATTTCCAGTTGCTCTCTCCATCTGAATTGGAAACGAATCACATGGAACATACGCTTGCGTAATCCAACATTATTCTTCTTTTCAGCTCTTTACAATGGAGGGGGGGGGGTGCTTTTTTATTTAGCATAGTCATATCCATTGTTAGAAAAAATGATTTTTTCAGCAAGATTTCCTTTTTTTTTAACTTTTTTTTACTTTTTTTTAAAATAAAGAAGTCGTGAAATAATATTTCACTGCGATTGTAGTCATAATCAAGTTACATTTTGGTTTATGTGACAAAATTTTGATAAAAAAATGAACATATTATGTAAATGAACGTGTTGGAAATATTTCCGACGTGAACACGAACAAGCGACCCGTTGTAATAGGTCGCAGGGAATAATGACAACACTTAGGCTGTTTATATCCGAAACAGCTCAACACGTGGACCAATCCCATAGACAAACGGCCTTGTCTTTGGGGCAGACCTCACACCCTGGATGACCTGGAGAAGTTCTTTAACTAACTCTTCAGCAAGCAACATTGGACATTAACAACCTACACTGAGAGAAATATTCAATAAAAATTACGTGTATTTTCCGTAATTCTGGAGCGAAATGTGGTTGTCGGAAATTTTACGGAACTGTCACGTAATTTTTATCTAAAGTCACGGAAATTCTCCGCGGTGTTCCGTAATTTTTATCTGAATAATCGGTGAAAAATAACGATACCGTCATTTAAATTTTTCGAATCAACTCCGTAATCGGCAAGTGAACTGAAAGTTCCGTAATTTTTACTAAATATTTCTCTCCGTGTAGCTTACATTATATCGAATCCTTAACTAAAGTTAAAAAATAAATGGAAGATCGAGTCATCCAATAAAATTGTTGGCGATATTATTTCGACTACAGACAATGTAATAAACATAGTATAAAAAATCTTTCAAACTCGTCATCAAAATATACAAAAAGACGAGGAAAATGCGAAAAGCGCACGCGGGGAGAAAGTTCCATTAAAAGTTCGTACAAAAATCACTTTAAAAATCACCGGATTGGGCAGCAAGCCTGGAGCATTTCCTAACATCACGGTTCAACTCAGTAAAATTTCCCAGCCCGTCACTAAAATAGTATATTTCGTAACAAATGCGGAAAAGTGTTTGGCGTGCGAATAATCCCACATATCAAAAACCACTTTCTGCACGAGCTGCGAACAATATTTTTCTTCGCAATGTGCGAAAAAATTACTTTCTGATGAAAAAGTGATCAAATAAAAAATTAAATCGGCTGTTTCTATGAATATTTGACCTTTTAAATAGTACATTTTACAACATTGAATCAACTTCGGAGAGGATTGAGGATCAGTACAGTCAATTTTGTTGCCACGCGCAGTAAATATTCCGGTGAACTGAAGTGATTTTTTATGAATTTCATATGAGTTTTCATGAGTACAGTGCAACATCCTAAATTACTAATGCGAGACCAGTATTTTTTCGTGGATATTTCTCGCCGTGCACAAGCTCAATTAAAAAATGATTTGATAGTCAAATATTTCATCATTTCAATTCATAGACTTCTGATCAGTTCAAATTCACGGGTTAAAAACCT